ATTTTTTTTTTGAATAATTCCTACTATCACTTGATCAAACTGATGTGAGCCTGGTAATTTTGAAAGCGTGAGAATTTCTACTCATGCTGAAGAGTTTCGGGTCGAATTCGTGGTGGAAAATCAGGCCAACGACAAACGACAATTGTTCAATTTCATAAAAACAAAAAGCTATCCAAGAAAAGAGACCTCATCATAGCATACTTTAAGGTTGAGCCGGGGACAGGATTTTACTCAGTCATAATAACACAGACATGAATATTGATCTAATAGCAAATGGGGGGTGTGATTCTCCAGTGAGCAAGGGGAGGGGAGTGTGTTTGAGAGGGGAGCGTGCAAGAAACTCAGCCTTCACCTTCCACAGCGGAAGTCAATGGATAATGGGAAAATAGAAAAAAAGAAGTAGAAATGTAAACATGTTATCTAGAATCCTGGGGGTAAAATACCCAAAGAAACAGCTACAAGAGTTCAGTGGTTTGATATAAATAAAAACTAAATTTAAAAAATAATAATTGAGGGTCTGGCCTGGTGGTGTAGTGGTTAAGTTCGCACACTCTGCTTCCGCAGCCCAGGGTTCACAGGTTGGGATCCCAGGCACGGACCTACACACTGCTCAACCCACGCTGTGGCGGCTTCCCGTATACAAAGTAGGGGAAGATTGGCACAGATGTTAGCTCAGGGCCAATCTTCCTCAGCAAAAAAAAATTAATAATAATAATAATTGATACAGAATGCATCAAGGGCCCTTAGGTGGGAGTCCTTGAGCCACAGGGTTGTGTGTTTGCGTGTATTTTATTCAAGGAAGTGGGGTGCTGGACTCTGGAAAGGGAAGGACCCTCTGAGATGAAGGAATGGGGGGCAAGGGGTGGGCAGGGCCATCAGGATTTGTGAACGCCAGGGCACATGTTCAGGGGGCTTTCATCTCCACGAGGAAGCTGAGGACCCCCCTACACACACACACATACCCAGGGGAGGCCAAAGACTGGTATCCCGGTAGAAAACAGGACACATTCAAATGCAGTCATTTGAGGAGTTTAATTAAGGGGCTACTTACAAAGGTCTGGGCAAGGTGCAGAGAAAGCCCAAACGATAGTACAGTGCCCTGGGGCAGGTAACCGAGGAGGGGTTCTTGCCTCCCCAGGCTGGGACCTGTGACGAGAGGGAACGGGACCAGGACCCAGACATACAGAAGGCTCCGTGAGGGGCCTGGGCAGGAGCTGTGAGCTCTGTGGTGTGGTGGGATAAACGTACCAATGGCTTGACCTCTCTCTCCCGTCGATTCTTCCCATCTCTTGGGACGAGGTGGAGGCAAGCATTGGCTGATCCCAACAGGAAGCCAGAGACTGTTGATGCCACTTGTACGGGTCAGCATCCTGGACAGAGAGAGCTGGGAAGAGATGGGCAAAAGGGGATCTGGAGGGGCAGACGGAAGCTACCCACAGCAAGAGCACAGGGACCGGACGCTGCCAGTGTGTCAATTTTCTGAATGTCATTTTTTTAAGGGGAGAATGGTGATGCCCATACTTGGCTCCCGGAACCTCTCCCCTGCTGACCCCTTATCCCCTCCCCACCCCTCCTCAAGTTTTGCTCTTCACCACCTTTACTCCACCTTCTCTACTTCCCTCAGGGATTCCTGGAAACAGCCAAGGGCCACACTGGACCGGAGAATACAAACGTGACTAAGCAGCATTGGAAAAGATGCTCCGCTCAGAGAACCTGGAAAGTGGGAATGAAAAGACCCTCAGGTGCTCAAGAAAGCTTGTAACCTGGGGAAGTTAGGGTCTGGCCATCATCTTTTTTTTTTTTTTGGTACCTTTTGGTATCTTCTTTTTTGGTACCCATTTTGCCCACTCCATGCCACCTCAGGCCACCACCATCTATTCTCTATATCCATGAGCTCAGTTTTTTGGTTTTTGGTTTTTTGGGTTCCACATATAAGTGAAATCATATGGTACTTGTCTCTCTCTGTCTGACTTCACTAAGCATAATGCCCTCAAGGTTCATCCACGTTGTCGCAAATGGCAGGATTTCCTTCTTTTTTACGGCTATGCCACATTTTCTTCATCCCTTGATGGACACTTAGGTTGCTTCCATATCCTGGCGATTGTAAATAATGCTGCAGGGAACATGGGGGTGCAGGTAATCTTTTCAAATTAGTGTTATTTTCTTTGCCCAAATACCCAGAAGTGGAATTGCTGGATCATAACATAGTTCTATTTTTAATTTTTTGAGGAACCTCCGTACTGTTTTCCGTAGTGGCTGCACGAATTTACATTCCCACTAACAGTGCACAAGGATTCCCGTTTCTCCACATCCTCGCCAACACTTGCTACGTCTCGTCTTTTTCATAATAGACTTTCTAACAGGTGTGAGGTGACATCTCATTGTGGTTTTGATTTGCATTTCCCAGATGATTAGTGATGTTGAGCACCTTTTCATGGACCCGTTGGACATGTGTATGTCTTCTTTGGCAAAATGTTTATTCAGATCCTCTGCCCTTTTTTTTTTTTTTTTTTTTTGAGGAAGACTGGCCCTGAGCTAACATCCGTGCCCATCTTCCTCTAGTTTATATGTGGGACACCTGCCACAGCATGGCTTGACAAGCAATGCATAGGTCCACACTCAGGATCCAAACCCAAGAACCCCAGGCTGCCAAAGCGGAACGTGTGAACTTAACCACCGCACCACCAGGCCAGACCCTCTGCCTATTTTTTAATCAGATTGTTTGAGGGTTTTTTGCAGTTGAGTTGTACGAGCTCTTTATATATTTGAGATATTAACCCCTTATCAGATATATGATTTGCAAACATTTTCTCCCATTCAGCAGGTTGCCGTTTCACTTTGTCGATGGTTTCCTTTGTTGTGCAGAAGCTTTTTAGTTTGATGTGGCCTTCTTCTTAAAGAGAATACGTCTGGGCAATTGGAAAGTCTCATGTGTTTTTTTCTGCTTTGGGTAATGGCAGGCTGAATTCTTCACATCAACCCTCCCTCTGAACACATTGGAAATGCTGGATAATTTCCTTTTTTATCTCAAGAGCATTGACGAGAAAACAGTTTGACAGTTTCTTACAACACCAAACAGGCAATTACTACATGACCCAGAAATGGCACTTGGGACATTTTCCCAGAGAAACAAAAATACACGTTCACACATTAAACTGGTACATGAGTGTTCACAGCAGCTTGATTCAAATAACCAAAAACTGACAACAAGCCAGATGTCTTTCAACAGGCAAATGGCTCAACAGACGGTGGTACGCCCATGCCATGGACCACAACTCAGCAATAAAAAGGAATGGAGTATTGGCACGTACAGCAACTTGGATGAATTTCTGAGAATCACGCCGTGTGAAAAAAAGCCAGTCCCCAAAGGTGATTTGCTGTATCATTCTATTTCTGTAACATTCTTGAAATGACAAAAATCATAGAAGTGGAGAACAGAATATGTTGCCAGGGATTAAGGAGGCAGAAGGAGCCAGGAGGGAAGTGAATGTGTCTATCAAAGGGCAACACGAGCGACCCTTGGGCTGATGGAAACGTCCCGTACCTTCGCGGTGGTGGTACAGACACAGCCTACATGTTACAACATTGCATAGAAACTCACACACACACAAAGGAGTCCAAGAAAATGCAAAATCTGAACAGCATCGACGCATTGTATCAACATCTCCATCCTGCTTGCGGTATTGTATTGTAGTTTTGTAAGACATCGTTTAGGGAAACTGAGTCAAAAGTACACAGGATCTCTCTATTATTTCTTATGACCCCATGTGACTCTAGAGTCATCTCAAAATAAAAGAGTTTACTTTTCAGAAATACACTGTTGAGATGAAAACACAGAGGAGGTAAAAACCTGCAGAGTTTACAGTATAAACAGAGAGGCAAGAAGAATATACAGAAGGTGCTTGTGCCCTGAGAGGGTTTTCTGGGAGTATGACTGGGTTTCATGTTGTAGCCTTCAAGGTCAAGGGTCAGGGCCTGGCCAAGACAGGAAGTGGAAGGGAAGACCTTATCCATACTAAGCTGGGACCCTAAAGGGTGAGCCAGTTGTAAACCTACCCCAAATCTAACTCTGGAGCAGCAGCCTTGACCCTGAGCATAAGAGGAGAAGGAACATTCTTCAAGTCCCTGAGAAGTTGTGGCCTCAGAATGACCCAGGAACACACTGACACCCCTGGGAGACAGACAACGGAGTGAGTCAAGGCACATCACGGCAGAACTGGGTCTGAGGTGGCTCTGACTGGAAGTGTCACCAGGGATCCCTGCCAAAGCAAACGCAGCCTCTGGTGGTGGCACATCCACGTCAGGGCGAGGGGAGATCCCACAGTCAAATGGAAAGGTCAACCATCGTCAATCAGAGATAATCAGGTCACAAGGAACCAAGACAACACCAACAAGAGCTCAGAGAACAGAACAGGTGCGATCAGACTTCGGGTGCCGGAGAGATCGGACAAATGATTTTAAAGGAGTTATGCTTACCATGTTGAAATAAAGACACGCAAACTTGAGAACATCTGCTGAGAACAGGAAACTATAAAGGTCATTCTTTATATGGCTTGGCCAGCCAGCACCCGGCAGCATAGTGGTTAAGTTCACGCACTCTGCTTTGGCAGCCAGGGGTTTGCAGGTTCAGATCCTGGGCACAGACCTAGCACTGCTTGACAAGCCATGCTGTGGCAATGTCCCACATAAAACACAGGAAGATGGGCCCGGATGTTGGCTCAGGGCCAGTCTTCCTCAGCAAAATGAGGAGGATTGGCAGCAGATGTTAGCTCAGGGCTGATCTTCCTCAAAAAAAAAAAAAAGTAATTTCAGACTACAAAATTGAGAGAGTTTATCACCAGCAAACCCTCATTAAAGAAAATTATAAAGGATATAATCTGGGCAGAATGCAAGTATGATCTCAGATAGAAGGTCTGAGATGCAAGAAAGAATGTAAAATAAAGAAAGTGGTAAACATACACAAAAATATATATAAGACAATACTTTCATTTAAAATAGCAATGTTAGGTGCTTCCTGTTTCCTCTTTCACCAGTGACCCGCCGACATGGGCCGCGTCCGCACCAAGACCGTGAAGAAGGCGGCCCGGGTCATCATCGAGAAGTACTACACGCGCCTGGGCAACGACTTCCACACCAACAAGCGCGTGTGCGAGGAGATCGCCATCATCCCCAGCAAGAAGCTCCGCAACAAGATCGCGGGCTATGTCACCCACCTGATGAAGCGCATCCAGCGCGGCCCCGTGAGAGGCATCTCCATCAAGCTGCAGGAGGAGGAGCGCGAGCGGAGGGACAACTACGTGCCTGAGGTGTCAGCGCTGGATCAGGAGATCATTGAAGTGGATCCTGACACTAAGGAGATGCTGAAACTCTTGGACTTCGGCAGTCTCTCCAACCTGCAGGTCACTCAGCCCACAGTTGGGATGAATTTCAAAACACCACGTGGAGCCGTTTGAATCTTTCTGCTATGCTGTAATATTTTCAATAAACCTCGGAAAACAAAAAAAAAATAAAATAAAAAATAAATTAAAAAAAGTAAATAAAATAGCAATGTTAGTATCTAGAGGGGTTAAAATAAAATAGAAGACAGTAACTTATATCTTGGGGACAAATTAAGTGGAGTTAAAGTATTCTAAGGTCCTTATATTATCAGGAGTGGATGAAGAATTAAAATCTAGACTTCAATATTTCAACCATGCATGTATAATTTATAGGATAACCATTGGAAGAACATATAACCTGCAACTCATGTTGGGTGGGGGGCATTCAGTGATTAAAAACACAACCCAGCTAAACAAACAAACTAAAGAGGCAAGAAACATAGGCCAGATGAGACAAATAAAAAGTACAATATAAAACGGTAGATTTAACCTCAAACATGAATATTAGTAATTACATTAAATGTAAGTGGATAAATACTTTAGGAAAAAGACAAAGACCGTCAGACCAAAAATTTTATACAAGACAGCTCACTGGGTACATCTCAATATATAAATGATTGAGATTTTCTTTTTTAAAAACTGTTTCTCTTGAAATAATTTTAGATTACAGAAAAGCTGAAGAGAGAGTACAGAGTTCCCATGTATATGCACCCAGCTTCCCCTAATTTTGTTATAAATTAACATTGACATAGTACCACTAATGAAACTATAAACTTTATTCAGGTTTCACCAATTTTGCCACTAATGTCCTTTTTCTGTTGCACAGTCCAATCCAGGAGACCACATAGTATTTTATTTTCATCTCTCCTTTGACTCCTCAACCTGTGAGAGTTTCTTGGTCTTTCCTTGTTTTTCATGACCTTGACACTTTTGAAGAGTACTGGTCAGGTATTTTTGTAGAATGCCTCTCAAATTGGGTTTGTCTGATGTTTTCTCATAATTAGACTGTAGTTATGGATTTAGAGGGAAAATATCACAGAGGAAAGGTACCACCCCCATCTGTCCTATTGGGGTAGATGATATCTGTGCTGACATCATGGGACACGTCAACCTCGATCACCTGGTTAAGGTGGTGTCTGCCGGGTCACTCCGCTCTAAAGTTACTATTTTTCCCCTTTCCATGCTCTATTCTTACAAGTAAGTCTTTTTAAAAAGAATACTGAAATAATAGTATGACTCTAACAAAAATATTGGGATTTTGGTACTTTAAAATATAAAGAGGTGGGGCCGGCTCCGTGGCCAAGTGGTTAAGTTCGCGTGCTCCGCTGCAGCGGCCCAGGGTTCGGATCCTGGGCGCGGACATGGCACCGCTCGTCAGGCCACGTTGAGGCAGCGTCCCACATCCCACAACTAGAAGGACCTGCAACTAAGATATACAACTGTGTACAGGGCGTGGGGGAGGGGGAGTGTTGGGAAATAAAGCAGAAAAAAAAAAAAAGATTGGCAACAGTTGTTAGTCCAGGAGCCAATCCTTAAAAAAAATTTAAAAAAAGGAAGATTGGCAACAGTTGTTAGCCCAGGTGCCAATCTAAAAAAAAAAAAAATATATATATATATATAAAGATGTCTCAAAATATTAGAATGCTGAAAAGCTGTGTGGTGATCACCACCAGAGTTCCCACACACCTCTTCTCCGCTAGTTTCCCCCATTTCTATCCTCGTCTACTTGATTTTTGCTCCGTCAAGAAGTTCTAGGTGGTTGCAGTGAGCAAGAAGGTGGTTCAAGACGAGTCTGTGGAAAAACTGAGTAACAGTTTCTCAGAGTAAGAGTGTCAGCGTTGTGCAGGAGACAGAGCCCTCAGCTGGGGCAGGCCCCCACCCCAACCCTCCCCAAATCTGTTCTAGTTTTGATCTCATTCATTTATCCCCAAAAAAAGTTCCCTGAGTGCCCGACCCAGTATGCAGCAGCGCTGGGGACACAGATGTGATCAAGACACTCCTGACCCTGCCTTCATGGGAATTCTGGTCCTGTCGGGGAGAAGGACCCATTCCCACACAATGACCACCCAGAGTGGCCAGGGCTGGGCTGCAGGAGCCCAGAGCAGGTCTGGGAGGGCTTCCTGGAGGAGGGAATGTCTGAGCTAAGATTTGAGGGAGCAGTAGGAGTTAGTGAGTAGGAATGCTTCAAGCAGGGGGAGTAGTATATGCAATGACCCAGAATGGAGAGGAAGCCCTGAGTGTTTTCTAAAGCTCAGGTGTGCCCATGGCCCTCTCCTGCTTACGAACCTTCCTTGGCTCCCCAGTGCCCTTCTTAGCACACAGTACAAAGTCCTTAGCTTGGCATTCATACATTCATTCAACAAACAGTTACCTACTCTGTGCTCTCTGATGGTTGAGTGGGAGTTACCAGGCTCTATACTGGGCCACACTGGGGACCCAGTGGTGACTGAGAAGGCCCAGCACTGCCCTTGGCACATGAGAATCACGAGTGTGTCGTGTGTGTGTCTGTTCCATGAGGGAGCCTGGTGGGACCATTCCAGAGCAGCGATGACAGAGTCAGACCAACAGACTTGGGCTCTCCCTTGACTCTGGGCTCACCAACCTTCTCTCCCTGAGCCTCAGTTCCTTCCCCTGGAAAATGGGCTGAATAACAGTACCGCTGCACGGGGTTTTATTCAAACACACACATGATCCTAGAGCCCAGGCTTCCTCGAGTTTCTGAAGTCTGTATATTTGCTGTCAATCCTCCTCACTCCTTGAGAAAAAAATATAAATATCTAAATAATTGCTAATATTTGTTGAGTACCTGCTAATTGTCAGACACTGTTCTAAGTGCCTAACTCCGTTGTTTTTTTTTTTTTGGTGAGGAAGATTGGCCCTGAGCTAGCATTCATGCCAATCTTCCTCTATTTTATGTGGGGCGCCACCACAGCATGGCTTGACCAGCAGTGCTGGATCCACACCAGGGATCTGAACCTGAAAACCTGGGCTACCAGCACAGGAGCACATGAACTTAACCACTATGCAACCAGGCCAGCCCCTGTTAGCTCCTTTAATCCTCATAACATCTCTAAAAGGTGGGTGCCTTTCTTTTTCCTGTTGGAGGCACAGCCAGGTTGAAGAACTTGGCACAGCGCTCACAATAAGGAGAAGAGCCGGGATTCAAACCTGTGACTCTGGAGCTCCTGCTCCATCGTGCGGACTCTCGGTGAAGACGCTGGCTCTGGGGAACTGCGAGGATCCATTGCCTTCACTGACACAGCATTACCCTTCATGACGGGCCAAGCCTGGGAATACAGCAGAGATGTTAGCCGGGCACGGCCCCGGGAGGCTCGTGGTCAGTAAGCTGGTGCACAAACAGGGTAATTACAGAACAAGGAAATAAACAAGGGCGAGGCAGAGAGGACTGGGGTGCGGGAGTGAGCTCCATGGAGAGCATGGCCATGGAAGGCTGATCTGGGCTTGGGCCAACACCTGGATCCTCCTAAGGAGCCAGCCTTACAAAAAAAAAATCAGAGAGAAGGGAAGTTCAGGGAAGGGGAAACGGCAAGTGCAAAGGCCCCGGGGCACATTCGAGGGTCAGAAAGGAGGCCTGGATGGCTAGAGAGGAGTGAGAGATTCAGGAGAGGGTGATAGGAGATGAGGTTGGAGAGATCCCAGTGGGGATGACGGGGAGTGTGGATGCAGCAGTTAGGGACCTGGAGGCCGTGGCTATGTTTTTGGACCTTATTCTGAGGCTCACGGAGAATCAGAGAAGGTTTTAAGCAGGAGTGACACGATCTGATTTACATTTTAGAAATCTCTGCTGCTAGGTAATATTCAACATCCAATCACTGTTCTCCACTTCCTCTCTGCCCACCCCCTGCCCAGCCCCATCGCCTCACGCAGGGACCATACTGGGCTCCTGGCTTCTGCCCTCAACTGCCACAGTCTTTCCCCCACCCAGCAGCCAGAGGGACACCATTAGATCTTGAGTCAAGTCACACCCCTCCTCTGCTCAGAACCGTCCTTTGGCTCCCACCTCACTCAGAGCACAAGCCAGAGTCCCTACAGTGGCCCACAGGGTCCTGCATTCACTCTCACCTCCATTACCTCTCACCTCCTCCCGCTCTCCTTCTCAATCTACTCAAGCCATGATGTTCCTTGAACACACCAGCGTCACTCCGACCTCAGGGCCTTTGCACTGGCTCTTCCCTCTGTCTGGGACCCTTCCTCCACCTATCTACAAGGCTCCCTCTCTCACCTCCTTTATGATTTTTCTCAAATGTCACCTCCTCCGAGAGGCCTTCGCTGATTGCTCTCTATGTTCCTACCCCATTAATTTCTTTCTCTATAGTGCATAGCCCTACCTGACATACTGTATTTCATTTGTCCATCTTATTTTCCATCTGCCTAAAATTTCAGCTGCGTGAGGGCAGGGATTTTCGTATATTTTATTTATCACTGTCTCTTCGGCACCTAGAACATTGCCAGACACATGTCACATCTTCAGTAAATATTTGTTGACTGATTGAGCAAATATTCTTCCATCCATCTGTGCCCCGCAGTCTCCATCTCTCTGCCTAGTACTCTCCCACGAATCCTTTAATGAAGGAATAAAATTAAAAATCCTAGGGGCCGGCCCCATGGCCGAGTGGTTAAAGGTCCGTGTGCTCCACTTTGGCAGCCTGGCTTCACCGGTTCAGATCCTGGACGCGGACCTACGTACCACTCATCAAGCTATGCTGTGGTAAGCGTCCCACATATAAAGTAGAGGAAGATGGGCACAGATGTCAGCTCACAGAAAGTCTTCCTAGGCAAAAAGAGGAGGATTGGTAGCAGACGTTAGTTCAGGGCTAATCTTCCTCACCAAAAAAGAAAAAAATTAAAAATCCTAGCTAAAGCTCACTATGAACCTATTCTAATGACCCTACCTGTGTTGTCAGCTGTCATCCTCAAAACAGCGCCATAGCAGAGGGTCTGTAATGATCTCCTTTTTTTGTGACAAGGAAGAAACAGAGGCCCAGAGAGGTGACATCACTTGCTCAGAGTCACACAGCTGGAAGTGGCAGCGCCAAGATTTCACCCTGTGTGATTTTCTCTGGCTGCGGCGGCCACTCTCTGAACCATCACGCTAAGTATCGTGTTATTCTTGTTTTGGTTCTCATTTCCATCTCTCTCTCCTGGAGCCTCTGTCTCCTTCGACGGTTGTGAGCGGGTCCCTCTCCTCTCTCTGCAGAACTGGATTTGAATCGAGTCTAACTGGATGACATCCACGAGAGGTGTCACCTCGCTGGGCCTCAGTTTCCTGCTCTGTCAAATGGGGACAACCTCATCAGGTTGTCGTGAGGGTTTCATGAGATCCTCACACAGGCCAGCACCCAACAAACAGAGACGGGAAGGACAATGATCGTGACCTCCTCGGTCCTGGGGGCGGGGGGGCGGGGGGTCTCTCTGTCCCTGGTCTTCATCGCTCCTCTCTTGATCTCTGCACAAGTGTGTCCCTCAGTCCCTCTGGGAGCCCATGCCGCCTCTCTCTGTGTCTCTCCCGCTCCCTCTCAGGGTTTCTCTCCCCCTCACTCGCCCTTGCCCTTCCCCAGCCCTCCAGGGACCCCCCAGGAGCTGTTTTCTGCCCGGCGTCAGGCTGAGGGGGAAATTCACAAGTAAACAGGGCAGCGGAGGAGGCAGGGCAGCAGAGGGGTCTGGCCCCGGGTGGGGGTGGGGGTCGGGGTCGTGATCCAGTAAACACGCGGCTGATGAATTTCTCATCAGTATCCTGGGAGACTTTCCCCGAGTCCACAGCCTCAACCACCCCGGGGAAGAAGGCTCATCGGAAGAGGGTCCTCCTTCAGTGATCCGTCCAATTAAACACCATGGGGGGGGGGGGGGTGCAGGAAGGGCAGCCGTAGCCCCAGTAACAGAGTCCTAGAAGAAAACAAGTGTGGGGAAAAATACATCATAGTGATAATAAAACAGACTCTGGAGTAACAGAATCTGAGGGTTCCCGAACACTACGTGTGATTGTTAAGGGCAGTCACGGCCCCTCGAAACCCCCGCCTCCCCTCGGTCACGCCCACCCATCCCGCAGATGCCACGGCGGCAGGACGGGCGCTGGGTCCCCTGCTGCACACGGGGCACTCACCTCCAGAGCTAAAGGTCTCAGCTGTCACTCCGTGGAAGCCACGCAATGCAGGGACCCCCACACTGGCCCCGGGTCCCCCCTCCGGGAGGCTGGCTCTCCATGCAGCCAGACCCCTGTCTCTTCTGCCTTCAAGAATGTCCATCGATGGCCGACAGGTCTCCTCTGTTCTCCCTGTGAAAACCGATGTGGCTCAGACGGCTCATCCTTCCTGGTTTCCCGTCCCTCTCTGTCCCCACACCTGGCATGTCCCTCCACGCTCCCCTGCTTTCTGTTCCCCACTCTGGCAGGCTTTCACAGGGGGCGGGAGGATGTCCTGGGTCCGGGTCAGACAGCCCTTGTTCGGCTCCAGGCTACCACTCACTGTCCACATGACCGCGGACAAGCCCCTCGGCCTCTCTCAGCCTCCCACTGCTCATCTGTAAGACTCTGAATAGACCGTATTTCACAGGGTCTGGAGGCATTCACAGAGACGACACACAGGCAGAGCCCTGAGCATGCTGCGGGCCCAAAGGAGGCACTCAGTAAATAAGTGCCCTTCAGATTAGTGCCCTAATTGGGTCTTAATTATCACAGCTAACATTCAATAAGCACAGCCCTCAGGCCAGGCTCTGTGCTCCACACTCTGAGTCAGGAGCCCACGTCATCCCATCTTTTTTTTTTTTTTTTTTTGAGGAAGATCAGCCCTGAGCTAACATCTGCTGCCAATCCTCCTCTTTTTGCTGAGGAAGACTGGCCCTGAGCTCACATCCATGCCCATCTTCCTCTACTTTATATGTGGGATGACTGCCACAGCATGGTGTGCCAAGTGGTGCCATGTCCGCACCCAGGATCCGAACCGGTGAACCCCAGGCCGCCAAAGCGGAACGTGCGAATTTAACCGCTGCACCACCGGGCCGGCCCAGCCTCTCTTGACAGATGAAGAAACTGAGGCTGAGAGACGTTAAGTAAGAAGCCACAGCCACTCGGCCAGCAGGTGGTAGAGCCAGGCTTGAATCTGTAGCTGATACTGAGAGCTGACCGTGATGCTGGCCACTCCCTAAACCCGGGGGGGGGGGGAGGGTTGCACTGAAGTCACCCCACTGCCTGACTCAGTGTCCCCAACGTCACAACAGAGAAGTCTGACTCACCTCTTCAGGGAGGTGAGCCGGCCACAGCCCGCCACCTAACCATGGATGTGCTTTTACTTATAGGTTTCCAGAAAATGCGTGGCGTGTGTGTGAACCCAGGGACCTCGGCCAGGAATATCGTGGCTTTAAGAGACTGAAACTCAGATCCTTGCTGTCTGGAGGCCTTGTTTCCACATCTGTAAAATAAGAAAGCAGAGTGAGCCAGACTGGGTGACCCGGGAGACCTTGTGTCCCTCCTAGATGCCTTCATTTATTGGTTCATTCCGTTGACGGGCGTTTATTGAGGCAGGATGGGGCAGTGGTTAAGGACAAAGACTTTGGACTCAGGCAGACCCAGGTTGGAATCCCAACTCTGGCTGTCTGTTGGCTGTGTGACCATAGACAAGTCACCTAACCTCTGTGAACATGAATTGCTGCCTCTGCAAATCAGGAATAATAATAATACTTAAGTCAAGGAATCGAGGGAGATTAAATGACATGAGTGCCTAGGGGCCTTGTGGGAACAGCCCCAGCCGTGCCCTCGTGGGCTCACAATCTAGAGGGAGAGACAGACCCGTCCCCAGTCAGCGATGACTCAGAGTGGGCACGGCTGGAATGGGGTCGCCCAGAGAAGTCGGCTGACCCAGCCTGGGGGTCAGGAGGGCTTCCTGGGGGAGGAGGCATCAGAGCTGAGCAGTGACGGACATGGTAAGCACTCAAGACTTAGGAATCATCTGTGCAAAAGACAGTCTGTGGACATGTAGAGCAAGGGAATATTACACGGTCTGGGGAGACGGCTTAGCTCCAGCCATTCGTTCATCCTGCTAACATCCCCTGCTCTGCTCTCGCATCAGTGACCAGGACAGCCCTGGCCCTGACCTCCCCGGGCTCACAGATTACCAGCGAGGACAGACATCAAACAAGCCATGATCCAAATCATTACTTCCAAAGGAAATCACAGAAAGTTGGAAAATCACATTGTAAGAAGACCTTTCCTCTGACATTCATGAATTCCTCCCTCTGTCACCTCCCAACCATGAGCCCATCCGCAGAGACAATACATTCACTCAATAAGCATTTATGAAGCTTTTTTTTTTTTTTTTTTTTTTTTTTGCTGAGGAAGATTGGCCCCGTATTAAGCTCTTTCTGAAGGCAGGACACACTGTCTGCCATCACGGAGTTCTCAACAGGCCTTGTTCCGATTTTGCTACTTGATCAAATGGAGACAACATGAGTTGACAGGGACAGTGCCACTGCCCCGTTCAATCAATGCAACCAGAAGAGCTTCTTACAACCAATATCTCATAGGTCCCTCCTCTTATGCCCTTTGGTGGCTCCCTGTGGCTCAGAAAGCAAAGACCAAGTACATCACCAGTTCTTAACCCCGTGAGACCCAACATCTACTTTATATAATATTTTGAAATGCCCCTTTAGGGGCCCCATGGTCAAGTGGTTCAAATTCCATGTGCTCCGCTTCAGTGGCCTGGGTTCACAGGTTTGGATCCCGGGCATGGACCTACTCCACTCGTTGGCCATGCTGTGGTGGCATCCCACATACAAAATACAAGAAGATTGGCACAGACGTTAGCTCAGCAACAATATTCCTCGAGCAAAAAAAAGAGGAAGATTGGCAACAGATGTTAGCTCAGGGCTAATCTTCCTCACCAAAAAAAAAAAAGAAAAGAAAAGAAAAGAAAAAAGAAACGCCCCTTTAGTATCCTGGGTGTCGGGTGGGACACTGGAAAGTTAACAAGACCGTATCTTGGTCACGTGGATTGTCGAGACATCTGGTGTCCCTAGTCCCAGTCCACCAAATTCGGTCACACCTCCAATCGCTGTGACAAACCCAAAATGTCCCCACCATTTCCAAAACGTCCCCTGAGGGCGCCCCACAGTCTGATGGCATCCAGCCCCCGTACACCAGGACGGCTTCGTCTCGGGACTCTCACTCCATTCTGACCAGCCCGGCCTCCTGCTGTCCCCCAAAACTTCAGGCCTTGGTGTCTTGTGCTCCTCTCCCCAGAAGATTCTTCTTTGTGGTCTCAGCTTCCGGGTCACGTCCCCCAGCCCAGCCTCGCTCAGAGCCTCCCTGTCTCTGTGTAGGTGGGTCTTTTTGGTCTATTGTTTTCTCCTTTGCTGGCTGTCACCCCGCTGGACTGGTCGCTTACGAAACAGGCACAAGGTAGCTGTGGTCACCACTGAGGTTCCAGTACCCAATGCAAGGGACCTCAGTGACCGTGTGTTGAGTGACCAAGGGGCCCAATGGAGATCGTTGGTGGAGGAAGAATTCCTGGAGGTGGCATGGGCAGGAGGCAAGGTTTTTGCGTGGTCCCAAAGGTCGGGAAGGACTGGGGACAATGTGCGGGGCCAAGGCAGGGCGTTCTGAGTGAGACTGTGCCCTGCCATGGTCCTCTGTTGCTTCTAAGATCAACTCCCCGTGAATCCGGAGCCGGACCTGCGTGCAAATCCCAACTCTGCCATTTCCCTACTGTGTGACCTTGAGTACATTCCTTAACCTCTCTGAGCCTCATACCCTTCTCCATAAAATAGAAATGATGGTGCCCACCTCCTTGAGAGATGATGGGGTTCAAAGAGATTGTGTGGATAAAACATCGAACATGGTAGGATGCACTTAATAAATATTTGTTGAATAAGTGGCTCCTAGTTCAGGGTGTGATGAAAATTTAGGTTTTCATCCAAAAGAGGGAGGGAGGAGCTCTAGCTTTGGAGTCCCACAGATCTGGGCTAGGGCCCCAGCTTTGCCACTGGCATGCTATGTGACTCTGGGCCAATGAGGTTCCCTCTCTGAGCTTCCAGTGCTCACCTATAAAACGGGGGTCATAACTGTGTTTTCCACATGGAGTTTTGGGGAGGATTAAATCAGATCGTGAAGGTAATCGTGCAGCACGGCATCCAGCTCGGAGGAAGGGGCTGTTATTATTATTTGGAGCGGCTCTGGGGTGTAGGGAGAGAGCAGGCCCCTGGCCTTGCAGTGCGGGAGGATGGGGGCGCAGGCATTCGCCTATGTGGAGCCTTATTGAATGGATAGGGAAACTGAGGCCCAGGGAGGGGAAGGGCCTTTCCAGAGGTCACAGAGCACAGTGGAGGCAGAGCAGGGCCCAGCGACAAGGGCGATGACGTCCTTCCAGGTCTCCGTGGGAGATTAAAGTCAGTTGGGGATCATGGGTAGGGAGTGGGCCCTTTAAATCCTAAGCTCCACCTTTGCTTGGAAGGGTCTTTGGGGAGTATAAAAGGGGGGCTGCAGCTCCTCTCTGCTCCAGAAAAGCGTCTGCTGCTCCTGCCTGCTGGTCCCCAGCCTCTCTCCAGCCACCCAGCACCAACCCCACCTGGGTGCCATGCAGCTGCCACCCTTCGACATGTGGAAGGACTATTTCAACCTGAGCCAAGTGGTGTTGGCACTGATCCAGAGTCGGGGGCAAAGGCCAGAGGCCCAAGGGACTGGGGAGTCAAGACCGGAGCCCCCGCTGGGGCAGGATCAGGGGCTGGGAGGGCCGGGGGCCGGCAGGGGCCTGGCCACCCTGTGCAACTTCTGCAAGCACAACGGGGAGTCACGCCACGTCTACTCCTCACACCAGCTGAAGACCCCGGAGGGCGTGGTGGTGTGTCCCATCCTCCGGCACTACGTGTGTCCGCTGTGCGGGGCCACCGGCGGCCAGGCCCACACGCTCAAGTACTGCCCGCTCAACGGTGGCCAGCAGTCGCTCTACCGTCGCACTGGGCGCAATTCGGCCGGCCGCAAGGTCAAGCGCTGAGGACCGTGGGGTGCCCACCCCCCATTCCTCCAACCCCCCTGGTTCGGTCCCCACCAAGTCCCTGCACCCACCCCCCCCCGGACTCACTCAGCACTTTGGAACCTCTGTTCGCCAGAACTCTGTCCCCGCTGGATCCGGAAACAATCGAGGCTGCTGGGGACCCAGGCCAGCACTGCCCCCTGGGATCTCTCAGCCCTTGGGGCTCCGTCCTGGGGGTGTCTGTGGATTCTCGGAGCAGCAGGACCCTGCCGCTTGCATGGCACAGCCCCGTGGCTCCTTCTGGGCCACAGCCTGGATCTTCAGTCCTTTGGGGGGCCTGCTGGTGAGCCAGCCCTGCCCGCTCTGACTTCTCAGCCCCCGGATTCCATTCCACATGGTATTCTTGGATCCTTGGACCTCGGGGACCCCACGGTGCTCTCCCAGGCCAGCCCTCAGAATTTGGAGAGAGTGTACCAGGCTGGCATGGACCCACCAGCCCAAGACCTTCACGATGGGATTCAGCCTCCAGACCCGCCTGTCCACCTTCTTCAGCCACCTGTAGACCCCTGGTGTCATCGTGGAACCGGCTGGATCGGCTAGACAGTTGCTCCCTGCTCTCAGCAGCCCACCCCTCAGGAGCTGGGGGAGGGCGGGGGCGCAGGGCAGGGGCACCAGGTCTGCACAGGCTTCTCCGGGGGTGGGGTAACCGACACCCTTCCACTCCCCCTGGTTGTTATCCCGTTTCCCGGCGCTCCTGCCCCCCAACCGCAAATCACTCCCCCAGCGAGAGGGCTGGGCGTCTCTCGCCACCTCCCACCCACCCCCCAAATCACCATCGTTTGCTAAAGGGGCGTTTTATTTCTCCCGGGTTTTTTTTTTTTTTCGTTCTCCAACGGGTTTAGTGCCCGGATGGAAAGAATGGCACCTGCCTGGATTTTATTTTAAGGGGCCAAGAAGAGCCCCGGTCAGATTTTAAGTTGTTCGGTTTTTGGCTCAGGGCTGGGGGCCCGGGGGCTGAGCTCTGGGGAATAAAGAGCGTTTCTGGTTGTCTTTGAAACCGCCCTGTCTGTTTCTGTCTTCGGGCTGAACCCGCCCCCCTTCCGAGGCTGGGGGAGGGAGCCAAGGCCCGCAGGGCCCCAAAACCTGGGAAGCGGCAGGTGGGGCAGGACCTCTCACGACCTGACCCCATACATCCTCCGGACACAGGTCACCTGTGGACTGGTCCCCAAGGCCCAGCCTCCACCTTGACCTTGGATTCCCTTTCTGCATCCTTCCTCGGGCTCTGTCCAGGGGCGCCCCCATCCTTCCCTGGTAGACCACAAGTCTTCCCGGAGCGGCTTATGGTGGTTCTTTTGTGCACCAGGACCCCACTGGGGAGGCGATAAAAAATCGCTGCCCCTGAGAAACGCACGTATGCACAAAATATTGCATATGATATCAAGGCTTCTTGTATTTCATTGTTCCAGAAATATTTATGGAGCCAGGCAGTGTTCTAGGTACTGCAGGGCACAGCGGTCAGCAGAGCAGACAAGAGCCCTGCCCTCAGGGAGCTGACAATCAATCAATATATAATATAACGTCAGGTGGGCCATAAGTGCTAGGAAGGAAGAGAAGGGAGGGTAAGGGATGGGGAGTGAAGGAGAGGCTGTTTTATACAAGGTGGTCAGGGAAGGCCTTTCTGTGGAGGCGACACTGGGGCAGGGTCCAAATGAACTGAGGAAAGCAGAGAACATCCGGGGAAAGAGCATTCCAGGCAGAGGAGACAGCCCGTTCAAAGGCCCTGGGGTGGGATGGAATCTGGTGCATTCAATCCGATAAGCTAGAGGCTGGCTGAGGAAGAGACATGATCAGAGAGGCTAAGAGGTGGGCAGAGAGTCCAGAATCTCGCAGACCCCGGTGGGAATTTGACCTTCATGGTGCATTCTCAGACTCTGAAATCCACCATGGCCTCCCCCAACCCGTGTGCTAGTCGCACAGAGAACCAAAGACTCCGGTTAATTTTTTTTTTTTCCAGGAAGATTAGCCTTGAGCTAACATCTGCTGCCAATCCTCCTCTTTTTGCTGAGGAAGACTGGCCCTGAGCTAACATCTGTGCCCATCTTCCTCTACTTTATATGTGGGATGCCTGCCACAGCATGGCTTGCCAAGCGGTGCGTAGGTCCACACCCGGGATCCGAACCAGCAAACCCGAGGCTGCCAAAGCGGAACATGTGAACTTAACCACTGCGCCACCCGGCTGGCCCCAGGACCCCGGTTCCTTAACTCTTCCTCTGCTCACAGGTCCTTATCCAAAAACACAGCTCTGCCCATAATAGAGACCCCCAAGTTAAATCAAACAATAGGAAAAAGGGACGCCCCAACGCCAGCGCCCCTGTGATGTTGAGCCCGGCACAGGGGTGCTCTGGAGGAAGAGGGTGCTGCATCGGGCAGGAAGCTGATGGCCTCTCAAATGGGGGAGATAGGGGACAGTTTGATAGTTTCATAAAGGGACCGACTCTGGCAAAGTGCGGGCAGCAGTTCTAGAAACCAACAAGGGGTGGTCTCCTCAGGATTCAGGGGAATCAGGACGGCTGGAGGGGGCATCCTCGAGACCTGGAGAAGGGAGCGGGGAAGATGGTGAGGTCGGTCTGGGGTATGGAGGACGCGAAGTGCCTGGAGACACCCGAGGGGAAGCATCCAAGAGGCTGCTGGACACCTGGGTCTGAGGCTCCGAGGAGCGGGCTGGAGACAGACAATTAGTGGTTGTCAAGTTCCGTTTTTCTTTTTTAATGAACTAAGCCATTTCTTCAACAGATGATTACACAGCAGTGTAGCTGACGGGAGCTGAGGACACTAAAGGAGCCGAAGGAACAATGTCCCCTGACCTCGATGTCCTCCAGTGCCTCACACCTGCAGATCCCAGACGCCTCTGCCGAGGGCTGCCTCCCTTCAGCCTTCTCATGAGCTCCAGACCAGCCTTAGACCAACGCCCCACTCAGCCCACACTCTTCACGGAGACGCAGCATCCTGGCTGCCTCCCCGGGACGCCCAACGGAAGGGAGCTGTCTAGGTGACACCCAGGTGTCTGGCCCAGGTCCCAGTTGGGTATATGGGGTCCGTTAGGATATGGCAAGTGTAAGCCACTCAGTGGGTGTTATGGGTCAAATGGTGTCCCCCCAAAAGATATACTGAAGTCCTAACGCCCAGCACTTCCGAATGTGGTCCTAGCTGGAAATAGGGTCATGGCAGATGTAACTAGCTAAGATGAGGTCATCCAGGAGGGGGTGGGCCCTTATTCCATGACTGTGTCCTTGTAAGAAGAGGAGAGAGACACACAGGGGAAGACAGCTCTGTGAAGACAGAGGCAGAGACTGGGGTGATGGTACCACAAGCTAAGGAACGCCTGGGGCCACCAGAAGCTGGAAGAGGCAAGGAAGGACCCTCCCCTAGAGCCTTCAGACGGACTGTGGCCCTGCCAACAGCCTGATGGCAGATTTCTAGCTTCCAGAGCTGTGAGAGAAGGTAGTTCTGTTGTTTGAAACCACCCCGTTTATGGTACTTGGTTGTGGCCGCCCTCAGAAACGAATACACTGGGCCCTGAGGGGAGGCATCCAGAATATGGTTGGCGCTAGGGGATTCCGGGCTGAGAGGGGAGTTGGGTCTGAATCAGATCCGGAGCTCGTGAGAAGGCTGGAGACAGGGAGCCACTGGCAGAGGTGAGGTGTAGGGAGCTCTGCAGGTGTGGGTGCACCGAGGCAGGAGGAGGCACGAGGGCTGGGCACACTCCAGCCACACCCCCATCCCCTGTGGGACCTCCCACGAACACAGAGACAAGGGAGCCAGGTGGATGGAGACACAGGGCAGCGTCCTGGGCTCAGGGCAGGCCCACAGGGGGCAGAGTGGGCCCGGCCTGCTCAGGGGCCTGGTGAGCCCACTCTGAGCCTTCTAGAACAGAGCAGAGGACGACACATCGGCCGCACTCCACGCATAGGAGGGAACGCTGGAGAACGACCTCCTCCCTCAGCACCACTTTGGGCATAGACGGGGAGGGGCAGTTCCACACCCACTTGGGACCCGGGAAGGAAAATCAGGTCAGTTATAGATCGACCTAGAACCCCCCAGACTTCCGGTTATGCCCTGAAATGTACAAGCCTAAGGCTGACCCCTGACCCTCACGTTCCCACCGCGGTCACAGGTGCCTACCATTTCATGGGGCTCGGAAACTGAATTTGTGCGCCTGCGGGGTCCAGGGTCCTGGTGAGCTGCAACTATAGGCTAAAGTGGATTTCCAATGCTGACCAGAATCCGGGCCATTCTGGAGAATCGTATACAAAGGAGGGGAAAGGTAACTCCACGAACTAAAGGCTTCTTATTTTTAATCCGTATTGAGCATGTTGAGAGACCACTTTCTGGTTTATTTTTCTGTGTCTCTTTTTATGCATCTTTCAATTTGTCTCCTTCCTTCCTTCCTTTATCCTTTCTTTCTTCCTTCTCCCCTCTTTCCTCCCTCCCTCCGTCCCCCTCTTTCAGTCATTCTGATGAATGCGAGCCTTTCTCCCAGACTCCACTCTCACCCCGTACCACTGCCTATGAAATACCCACTGGATGTCTCATCGTGTCCACAATGGAAATCGCACGCCCATCAGAAATCCTGTCAGCTCGACCCTCAAAATACATCCAGAGTCTGACCATCTCTCCCCGGCCCACCACTGCGTGATCTCCATCCCCACCTCTCACCAGGACTATTGCAGCCGCCTCTTCGCTGGTCGCCCTGCCTCTGCTCTTGACCACCTAGGGTATGTTTTCAAACTCCGACAAAAGGGATCCCATTAAAACACAAGTCAGCTCATGTCCCTCCTCGGCTCAGAGCCCTCCTGTGTCAGAGTAGAAGCCAAAGTTGTTGTGGCCTCTCTCTGATCTCTTCTCCCAGCCTCTCCTCACGTGTTCCTTGAACTTCTAAGAGCATTGATGCCTCAGGGCCTTTGCACTTACCCTTCCCCCTACTCAGATTGCTCTCAGTCCAGATACTCACGTGGCTCACTCTCTCACCTCCTACAGTTCTTTGCTTAAATGTCACCTTCTCTCTGAGGCCTTCCCATCCCCACACTCCTGACCTCACTTACCCTGCTCTACTTCTCTTTCCTCCTCAACACTTACTGCCATTGAACACACTCTATGACTTATTTATTGATTACATCTATGGTTGTGATGGTCAATTAGATGTGTTAACTTGGTGAGGCTATGGTCCCCAGTCACTCAAACACTAATCCCACTGTTGCTATTAAAGTATTTTGTAGATGCCATTAAAGTCTGTAATTAGTTGACTTGAAGTAAGGAAGATTATCCTAGATAAATTTGGTGGGCCTGATCTAATCAGTTGAAAGGTTGAAAGAACAGAGCTGAGAATTCGTCTCCTGGATCTGGTTCCTTTCACTTTTTACTGCAACCCACACTGAGAAATTCATTTTACAGCATGATTCAACATGCACACACACACACACTTTAAACAAAAATTTCACAAAATAATCATCTTAGTAATACTAATAGGGCAATTAGTAGACATCAGAAACTGCTCAAATACTTCATACATATTGACCCAGTTAATACTCATAACATACCAGTGAGGTAGAGACCAGGGTTAATTCCCATTTTAGAGAGGAAAACTAAGGCCCAGAGAGGTTAAGCAACCTGTCCAAGGTTACGTAACAAGTAACTGGAAGAATTTGAACCCAGACAGGCTGGCTCCAGAGCTGAGCTGTTTCCACTATCCTGTGGTCTGTCTCAACCACCTCTGAAAATACATAACTGGGACAGACGTTGCTCAAGGCAATACTTACCTTACTACATGCAACGCATATTTTCCTCTTCTGTTTTATTTTGTTTGTTTTCTGCTGGTTGCAACCCACTAAATATTTTTCTGGACCCATGAATGGGTAAGGACCCACAGTTTAGAAAGCCGTCCCTAATTCACCCCCATCCCAAAGGGTTTGCCCTCTGACCTCGTGCCTCCTCCTGCCTCCGTGCACCCACACCTGCAGAGATCCCTACACCTCACCTCTGCCAATGGCTCCCTGTCTCCAGCCTTCTCACAAGCTCCGGATCTGACTCAGACCCAACTTCCCCCTCAGCCCAGACTGTCCTGGCGCCAACCATATTCTGGATGCCTCCCCTCAGGGGCCAGTGTATTCGTTTCTGAGGGCGGCCACAACCAAGTACCATATACTGGGTGACTTCGAACAGAACTACCTTCTCTCACAGCTCTGGAAGCTAGAAACCTGCCATCAGGCTGTTGGCAGGGCCACAGTCCGTCTGAAGGCTCTAGGGGAGGGTCCTTCATTGCCTCTTCCAGCTTCTGGTGGCCCCAGGCGTTCCTTGGCTTGTGGTGCATCACCCCAGTCTCTGCCTCTGTCTTTCCCTCTGTCTCTCCCCTCATCTTATAAGGACACTCGTCATGGATTAAGGGCCCACCCAACTCCTGTATGACCTCATCTTCGCTGATTACATCTGCAATGACCCTATTTCCAACTAAGGTCACATTCTGAAGTGCTAGGGGCTTAGGACTTCAACATACTAATTTTGGGTGGGACAATATTCAACCCATAACACTCACTGAGCACTTTGCACTCACCACATCCTGACAGACCCCATATACCCAACTGGGACCCGGGCCAGAGAACTAGGTGTCACCCGGACGGCTCCCTTCTCATCCCCAGCCTGACAGTCACCGTGCTCTGGACATTCTGCCTCTCGAATGTCTTCCAATTCATTTCCACTCTTCCCGCCCACCCTGCCCTGTGCACTCTCCCCACCCTCTCCTGGCCCCTATCCCGGGTTTCTCCCTTGACTCTGGCCGATAGCCTGGCCCCCTCCCATCTACCCTCCATACAAAGGCCAGGGGGTCTTTCTAAAGCACACATCGGACCCTGTTCTTCCTTGCTCAGAACCCATAGGGTCCCACTCAAGCTCCTTAGCGTTGCCCATAAGGCCCTGCCTGCATGGGCCGCCCCTGACTCCTGGACCCTGACTCCTCAAGGGGCACAGGGTGGGACCTCATCGAAACTCAGCCCTGGGGACAGTCACCTTGCCACCCACTCTGCACCTGCACCCACTCAGAAAACAATGTGGCCAGAGAAAAACACACAGCCACGGGAACTCATCTCGTTTCAATTTCAAATCCAATAACCTCAAGTGATTGGTTCTACTGTCTACACTTCCTTGGCCATCAATCCCTATTTCATGCCCTCTTCTCGCTCTCCCCTAACCTCAGCACCTCCCCTCGCCCTTGACCCGCTTGCTCCTCTACTAAGACAACATATGGAACTGGAAGAAAACGTTCGTATGTTCCTGACACCACATCTCACCACCCCCTGCCTCCATGTCCCCTGCCTCCCTCTCCCTGTTCGCTGTGACTGAACCACCCACGCCCCTTAGACCACCCTCCACTTGTGCCCTGGGTCGCACCCACCATGCCTACTCAAGGACATCGCACCAGGAAATCTCTCTCTCCTCTGCACCATGAGTCTCCCCTCTTCTGGATCATCCCCACTGGCACACAACATGCTGTTACATCTCCCATCTGAAATAAATCTCTCAGGATCCCACGCCCCCTTCAAGATACCACCCTCTTTCTGTGCTAGAAAGGATCGTCTACACAGGCTCTCTCTAAACCCTCTCTTGAACGCCCTCCCAATCAAGCTACTGCCCCCACCACACCAACAAAGCTGCTCTTTTCAGGATTACTGGTGATTGTCATCTTGCTAGCCCCAGGGGTCAGTTCTCGGTCTTCACTGGACTTGGCCTCTGGGCAGCATTTGGCATCACTGAGCCTTCCCTCCGCCTTGATCCGTGCCCTTCCCTTGACCTCCAGGACCTCAGACAGCCCTGGGTCTCCTCACCTCACTGACTGCTCCTCCTCAGTCTCCTTTGCTCATCTCAGCCGTCTACCTTGGAGCGCCCCCAGCTTCAGACCACGGACTTCTCTTTTATCGACACTTGCTCCCTGGCTAACCTCTCTCAGTCTTAGGGATTTAGATGTCATTTGTTCACTGACAACTCCTAAATTTATATCGCAAGACTGAACCGCTCCCTGAAGTCCAGACTCACATATCCGCCTGCCTACCCGACATCTGTCTTGGTTGACTAATGGGCATCTCAAGTTTGGGGACATTTGGACTCCTGATCCTCTTGCAGCACAGCCCCTCTTTGCTTCTGGAAGCTCCATCCTTCCCATTACTCGGGTCAAAGACATTGGAGTCATCCTCGACTCCTCCCCTTCTATCACTTCTTATAACCAAATCCATTTCACCTCTCCTTTGCAGCTACCACCCTGGTTGGAGCCACCACCATCTGAACCACTGTAGTGGCCTCCTCAGTGGGCACCCAGCTTCCACCTTCGCTCCCTAAAGTCAGTTCTCCAGAGGAATCGCCAGATCTCGTCCTTCCTCTGCTCTGGGTCCTCCCAGGGCTGCCACCTCATAGTCCTTACAGTGACCCACAAGGCCCTGCAGATCTGGCTCCCCATCCCGCCCTCCCTCTGGCTCCCTCCACTGCAGCCCCACTGGCCTCCTCGATCTTCCTAGAACACAGCAGACACAGTAGTACCTCTGGCTGCACTTGCTTCCTCACCTCCTTCCCATCTCTACTCAAATGTCACCTTCTCAGGAAGGGCTCCCCTCGTCACCTTATTTTAAAATTACAGACACACACATAAACCTCATACTCCCCAAACCCTTTTCCTACTTCCATTTTCTTCATAGCACTTATCACCTTCTCACTTATACATCTCATTTAGTTTGCTAATTGTCTGATTCTCCCAGCTCAAAAATGAGCTCCATAGATTTTTGTCTTTTGTATTCAGTGCATCTGGAACTGTGCAGGCACCCAACAACTCTTTGTTGAATAGACGTCTGAAGCACTGTTTATTGAATGACCTTGAGGACTTCTGCAGGATTGCTAAACTACAAATTTCTCGGCCCCACTTAACTCCATCATCCTGCCTTCCAGCTCACCCAAGCGGTGTTCTAGATTCATTCCTGCCTCCGCGCATTTGCTTGCAGTCCTGCCTGCGCCAGGATCACCCTCCCTACTCCAGAAGCTCTCCCTCTGATTTCTCTCCCTGCGCCATGACGTAAATGTGTGGATAGGGGGCCGCCCAGGCATGGTTGAAAGGTTGATGGGTTGCCATGGTTACTGAGCCCGCCTACGGCGGAATATCCCCAGGGTGCCCCGCCCCAACGGGTAATAGGTGGTTAGCAGACGTGGAGCAGCCCAGCGCAGCGGGTATGAGGGGCGGCAACTGGTTTTGTTATGCACCCCCATCCCACCCACGCAGTTGTCATGGAAACGAAGCGCTTCCCTCCAGCGCCGCCTCTCTCCCCTTTCTCCAAGAGAAAGAGACACAAGCACGGCTAGGTGTGGAAGACTGTCCGAAAGGCGGGGACGCCGCTCGGCCCCAGCGCTCTCTCCACCTCTCCCTCCCGCTCCGAGGATTGCTACGCCTGCGCAGGAACTGAGTCCCGGGTACCACGGCCCGCGGGGAGCGAGGGGCGCGCATGCGTGGGATAGAGTTTTGCGCGTGCGCCGTTGTGGCATCGGGAGTCGAGGGGAACAGGCGCAACGCTAACCTTGCGCCTGCGCAGCTGCAGCCCGCTCGTGGAGACCGGTGGGGGGCAATTCTGCGCTTGCGCTGTGGGAGGGGCGTGAAACCCAGGCAGTAAGGGCACAGGGGGCCGACGGGCGCTAGGTGCGCCTGCGCCATGGCTCGCGGGGCGGCTGGGGGCGGGGCCCAGAGGGGGGAGGCAAAGAAGCGGCGGGGGGGGGGGGGGGGGAGGGCGCC